CGGGGGGAGGGGGTGCCGACTCTCGCGTCGTTGGCGAGGGGAGAGGGAAGGAGAGAACTACACACTCTCCCGCTCCTACGGGAACCAGCGCACGGTTCGTCTGTGATGGGTGGTACCCTTGATGCTCCAAGGAACTGCTCATCGGGGTACTGCTCTCTAACCTAACCTAACCTAACGCATGATCCCGCTACAGCTCCTGCTCACCCGGCGAGCATTGGGGGGACCTCGGTCATGCGTTACTCTTTATATAGATTTTGAAGTACCTACCTAATTGATTTTATAGCAAGTAGTTAGTATGAAGATAGATTGGACCTGGTAGAAGGTATTCATAGGGTACCTTTCTTTTGTAGCGAAAATTAATGAAAATCAAGAGGTTTATTCAGTGGATGCAGCGTGCGGTTGAGTCGTTCATGGAATCTACTATTTTCACAGTTACAAGGGTAATTATGAATAAAGTTAGTAATTACAAGATAATTTATTATCTTGTTTAACTACAGAGCAGCGAAATGGCCTATTCGTACCTAGATATTAATGGTTTTATTATTTACTATTATTAGGGAAAACAGCCTCGTTAGTAAAGTTACCGCTATGTTTAAGTTTATGGTCGGATGGACGGGGGTGGCAACTGGCAACCGTATTTCTAGGTGCCAGTGATTATGGCAAATATAATGACGACCTTCGCGGCTGGCGCCAGGACTAGAACGGTCCATAAAATTGCATTATTTATACACAACGCCGGATGTTTTATTCTGTCAGGTAGTTAGTACATATTTTTTGCACGACTGTCTTGTCAGGTTATGGGCCTGAGTTAATGCTCAAGATTACTATGCATTCTACTACTATTGCGGGCGACTTTGTTGTAAAACAAAGCGATAACAGTCTGTGTCGGTTTTTTCTTAGAATATTTAGTGCCGTACATAGAATTGCGAGACACAATAGCGATGTTGATAAAATGAAATGGGCATGGTACTATGATTAAATAATGTTGTGTGCACCGACGATCTGCTACGGCCGCTGCTTACGATTGATTTTTGGTACGGACAAGTACAACAGGCTCCTTAGGTTTTACCTAATTATTATATTCACATAACTATAAATATGAAGAGCTTGACAGCGCGGGTGGCTAGCGTGTTGGGCTGCGATCGTTGAAGTTAAGCAACTTTCGAAGTGGTCGGTCATTGGCTGGGTGTCCAAAAATCTTTTATCTCGAGTTCCTCCGTGCATCTGAAGACACGTTAAGCCGTTGGTCCCGGCTGCATCTGCAGTCGTTAGCACCCGCCAATCCGCACTGGGCCCGCGTGGTGGGTCATGGCCTAATCTCCCTGTACCATCCATAGGGAGGCTGATGATGATGATGATCTATAAATATACTCATTATAATCCTTTTGACATGAACCTTTTTATCTGAAGGAAAAATAAACATTATAAGATGGTGACTTCATACTGCTCGGTCGCTCAGCCGCTTTGTTTATTTGTAATTCCTCCATCAAGCTTGTTAAGAATGTAACAACCATAAAGGATCGTTTATTGCCTAACGACCAGTGAAATATTTCATTCAGTCGCTTTTTTCTTACTTAATTAGCTTTCCTAAGGTGCGTTCACATCGACGATAGTGCACGGAGAATATGACCGTACTTTTCTTAATAGAACTGTCAATAAGGTCCAATGGGCACTTTCTATATAACCTTTTTGGGGAGGTCGAATGGGATATACAAATAAGGTCTAGTGGGTACAGTTGCAGTAGGGTCTAATCTTGAAGGGCCAATGGGCACCAAAAAAGAGGTCCAATTGAATATAAAAATTTTAAAAAGGGCACATTGAATATAAAAATTTTAAGGTCCAATGGGCCATATAAATGAGGTCCAATGCCACATTTTTGCTTTCGGGTCGAATCTTGAGGATCCAATGGGTACTAGACCGTATCGATGGGCGTAGGATCGTGAAATATTTTTGAACTACGCTTGCTCCCCGCACAATGTTAAAATTAATATCCCCTATGATAAATTGAGATGGATTCATTCAATGTTATACTCGTAGGTACACTGCGAAGGAGTCCGCATAAAAGACTTCTATCAAGCAAATTTTGTGTTCTGGTTAGAGATTGAAAATAAATACGTACATTATTTATTCTTACATCACACCAGTAGACTCCAGCCCCTCTAGCATGACCACCGAAACGGAATATGATAAAGCGATATATCGGCATTAACTGTCAGACTACAGTGGAGTTTGACAGTAGTCTGACAGATAATGCCGATATATCGCTTTATCATATCCCGTTTCGGTGGTCATGCTAGAGGGGCTGGACGTCATAACAATGACAAAAGCGTCTCTGTCCAATCAAGTTCCTATTTGTTGTATTTCAGTACTAATTCGATTTTAAATAATATAGTTAGTACAGTAACAAATACCATCAAACGAAACAAAACCACTTTTTTTCATTTAGTCAAACTAGTGTCAGCGTCTAATATTTATTAATAGATTTTTTTATCATACACATTCGCTAATGTGGACACACTCTCACAAGTTATACACGTAACTGTAGGCCGATTCTGTAAAATAAAACCTCACTTCCGATTTCGGTAGCTACCATTTTAGACATTAGTTTGATATGCATTACGCCATTACACGGCAAAATGTCGCTATGTCTGTAGAAACAGCCAGTATAAGATATTTGATATTTGTCAGAAATCTGAATAAATGAGATCGTAAGTGATATTGCATCTTATAGAATACATATGCAGCACAAGAAAAAGTGTATAATAATAATGTTTGTATTATTGTTATAATTGTGTGTGGAAGCGCAGTGCTGTTTAAGTATACATAATTATTGTTTTCCTCAATCTCGTCGTGATCTCGTCTACGTTTTCCTTACACTGTCTAGAATAAGTGTAGTTATTTAGATAATTAACTGAAAATAAGATTATTTGTATAAAAAATGGAATATAATTTAAAGTAAGAATACTAGTATAATAGCCAGATAATACTATACATACGTTAGTCCTTATTTATAATTTAAATAATCTCCCTGTTCCATCCATAGGGAAGGCCCTATACCTAGCAGTGAGGACAATCATAGGCAAAAAATTCAGGAATTGTTGACGACAAACAAATCGTCATGCCTCGCTCGTTGCAACAATGATTGTAATTAATATTTATCATTTTTACGGTCTGCCTCTTGAGCATGAGCACCACAATTTGCATTATATCACTTTTCTTATTGCGTCTAACCGTCAAACTGCATAGTAATTTGACAATTAAGCGTGATAAAAACGCGTTATATATAACGCGTTTTAAGATATATCTTGCGTCCCGAGACGCACGACAGAAGTGATAACTTACACTAATCTAAGTGGCGCTGCGGGTTAGAGTTAGAGAGGAGGAGTCTGCCTACCGCGTGAGAGTAAGGGAAGCCAGACTGGCGCCGTAACGCGTTACGTAACGAAGCGGTTTACCCTCACATAAGTAGTTATCACTTAAATAAAAATAGTTTTTACGGGTTAATGCACGAAACTTTATTTATTTATTGACGTTTCGCAGCCTTTTCAGGTCTTCTCAGGTCTTACTTCATTGGAAGATTTTTTTTTTAATTTTATTGTCTATGTATGAATTTATTATTTAATTTACTTAATAAAGTATTTTATTTAAATTCTTTTTTGTAATTTTGAGTTTATTTATTTGACCCTAACTACCGTAAACTACCACCGGTTCCAAAATTGGGAGACCTTCCTGAGAAGAACCAACGAAACAAAGCCTCTCTTGAGTTTGTTTCGTCGGTTCTTCTCAGTAAAAAAAAAAAATCTTCCAATGAAGTAACCGAACGCTCAATATAAGTCTTTCGAAGGTAGCTCGACAATTTTAAATAAAAAATCATTATTCTGACTATGCAGACCTGAAAAGGCTGCGAAACGTCAATAAATAAATAAAGTTTCGTGCATTAACCCGTAAAAACTAGTTTTATTTAATGAGTGATGTGCGTGAAAACCTAAGAAACAAAGCCTCTCTTGAGTTTGTTTCGTCGGTTCTTCTCAGTAAAAAAAAAAAATCTTCCAATGAAGTAACCGAACGCTCAATATAAGTCTTTCGAAGGTAGCTCGACAATTTTAAATAAAAAATCATTATTCTGACTATGCAGACCTGAAAAGGCTGCGAAACGTCAATAAATAAATAAAGTTTCGTGCATTAACCCGTAAAAACTAGTTTTATTTAATGAGTGATGTGCGTGAAAACCTAAGAAACAAATAGTTATCACTTCATAATACGATTGACGTCTGGTGTCGAGAACGGTGTCGCGTAGAAATAAATTTGCGTAAAAGGATAATCTGCCTAATTACACATGCACTTGCTTTATCTATTTCGATTTATGTCTGTGGGAGGGCATCACCATCGCTATTTATTGCAAGTTATATGAATAATAATTATAATATTTTTTGGAAAAATACAAAAGGGACCCCTGCCCTCCTAGCATAAGCACCGCGATAAGATATATCTTAAAACGCGTTATATATAACGCGTTTTTATCACGCAGACGCTCTTTTATAAAATATCTGACTAGGTAACATTATAAGCTGAAAAAACTTTATAACTGATATAGGTGACCGGAGTCCATGCTTTTTCACTATTTATTTCTCGTGAGTACTCAAAATCTGACAGTTCCATACAATTTGAAATGGATGCGCCGTCTGCTTAGGTCCTAGGTCTGTGGTCTCTTTGTTATTGTCATACTCGTAGTACTTATTTCAACAGTCTCAGAGACGCCCTCTAGTTGAGCCGACCTCAGGTTCGAGTGGTCTGGAGGCTCCAGACGGAGAGGAGACTCCCCCCGTGGGGAGACGCCATCCGACTGGAATACCTCCAGAGGCACTCGCCAATTCTCGGCTTGAGGTCCCCTTAGGATCTCGCCGTCCCCAAACCTGGTGACGCTGTAAAGGTCATCTGCGACCAACAGCATACACACTCAAAAACAAATTTTTTCAACAACGGTTTTGTTTGTTTAACAGAACGGTCTCCTGTCCTCGTTGCCTTACCTGGGCAAGTACCTGTGCGCGCTCGCGTCGTCTGTACTGGCAGACCATCTGAGGCGCAGCGGCCGACTGTCAACCACCACCGCTAGGAAGGTGTTCACTGGATTCGCTGTGGGACTGCCAGGTATGTATTGCACAATGTGTGCGAGCTACCTTCGAAAGACTTTTATTTAGCGTTCGGATATTTCCATTGGAAGATTTTTAAAACTTTATTCTCTGTGCATGAATTCATTAGTTAATTTAATGAATAAAGTACTTCATTTAATTATTTATTTAACTGCCGTAAACTACCACCGGTTCCAAAATTAAAACGTAAATAAATAAATAAAATCAGTGCATCTAACCCGTTGTAACTTGTTTTATTTAGTGTTGTTATATTTATAATCTGGTGTTTGACCACAGGCGTGATGATGCTAATACTGACCTTCTACGGAGAGGACCGCGTGTGGAGTATCGCCATCTTCACCGCTGCACTCACCATCAACGGCGCCGTCACTGCCGGCTACCTCGGCAACGGGCTGGATATCGCGCCCAACTTCAGCGGTGAATATATGACCACTAGATTTAGGGGACAACTTTAGCGGTGAATATATGACCACTACATATAGGGGCAACGGGCTGGATATCGCGCCCAACTTCAGCGGTGAATATATGACCACTAGATTTAGGGGACAACTTTAGCGGTGAATATATGACCACTACATATAGGGGCAACGGGCTGGATATAGCGCCCAACTTCAGCGGTGAATCTATGACCACTACATATAGGGGCAACACTATACCACCACTAAGTATAGGCGTCAATACCTCGGCAACGGGCTGGATATATGACCACTAGATATAGGGGCACCACTATACCACCACTAAGTATAGGCGTCAATACTTTGGCAACAGGCTGGATATAGCGCCCAACTTCAGCGGTGAATATATGACCACTAGATATAGGGGCAACACTATACTACCACTAAGTATAGGCGTCAATACCTCGGCAACGGGCTGGATATATAACCACTAGATATAGGGGCAACACTATACCACCACTAAGTATAGGCGTCAATACTTTGGCAACAGGCTGGATATAGCGCCCAATTTCAGCGGTGAATATATGACCACTAGATTTAGGGGCAACACTATACCACCACTAAGTATAAGCGTCAATATCTCGGCAACAGGCTGGATATAGCGCCCAACTTCAGAGGTGTATATATGACCACTAGATATAGGGGACAACTTTAGCGGTGAATATATGACCACGAATATAGGGGCAACACTATGCCACGACTAAGTATAGGCGTCAATACCTCGGCAACGGGCTGGATATAGCGCCCAACTTCAGCGGTGAATATATGACCACTAGATATAGGGCCAACACTATATCACCACTAATTATAGGCGTCAATACCTCGGCAATGGTCTGGATATAGCGCCCAACTTCAGCGATGAATATATGACCACTAGATAGAGGGGACAACTTTAGCGGTGAATATATGACCATCGATATAGGGCGATGATGCCAGTACTGAACTTCTCGCGGAGGTCCGCGTGTGGAGTATCGCCACCTGCACGTCGGCTACCTTGGCAACGGGCAGGTATATTCTGTACTCAACTTTACCGGTGAATATATTACTACTAGATAAAGGGGACATATTGGGTGGTGAATATATGTCCACTAAATAAAGGGAGGCAACTTTACCGGTAAATATATGACCAATAGATATAGGGGGAAACTTTAGCGGATAATATATGACCACTAGATATAGGAGTCACGTCAGCAGTGAATATATGCTCTCTCCAGATTTAGGGGGGAAATTTTAGCGGTGAATATATGACCAGGCAATATAAGGGGAAACTTTAGCGGTGAATATATGATCACTAGATATAGGGGGGCAACTTTAGTGACGAATAATAATAATAAATTATTTATTAAAAGAAATACTTACATTATAAGCTTAATTCTACATCAGTGTCTCATAAACCATTATTGGTTTTTCCGGGCGCTCCCGTTCGCCATCGAGACCCGTAAATACAGGACACTCAATCAACAAATATAAATCATTCATCCATCAGACATTAACTTACCGAACAGAATTATGAAAGTCCAGATATATCCGAATAAATCCGGACAAATGTTAACCTATACCAAATTATCAGGAAAACCATTTGTTTTTCTCAAAATGTTCAGTTTTGAATATATCAAGATAATGAGGGCTACCGTTTTCTGCCTCACCAGCCACTGTTGAGTGAGGTCCTAAATTGTAACTTTTAAAGTTAATTAATACGCACATGAAATCAAAGGTTACATTTAGATCGTATTTTAACACAAAAGAACCATATCCTAAACATAATAGGCCTTGCCACAGTGACGCGTAGTTCCGTTTTATTCGGAAAAAATGGGAACATAATAATTTTTCTAAGCTTAAATTTTTAATAACTGACATTCATTGCCACATAACTCATATTTGCCATAATTAAGCCGAATTGTTACCAATTATTCACAACATTATTTTAATTAGAAATAAACCCGCGTAGTCAACCAACAAGCAATAACATTTGACATTTCGGAGACCTCACGCTACACTAGCGCCTCTAGCGGCGGATTCATACGCGATAGACCTCATTATGTTATAATTTTTATTTCCAGGTACAATCTTTGGCATGGCCAATACTCTGTCATCGTTTGGTGGGTGGCTGTCCACCTTCATGGTTGGAGAACTGACAAAGGAACATGTAAGTATTTTCCTTCCAGTTATTTCATACTTTGGAGCCTCCACAGACCTCAGATAGAGGATAGAAGGGCTTTGTGGGTGGAGAAGGCACGCCAAAGTTATGTGTGAGCAGTTCGTTTTCATTCTCTTAAAAGGTTATTTTAAGGATAAAAAAATAACCTACATTCTCTCCCGGAACTCGAAACTGTCTCTATACCAAATTTCATTCATATCACTTCAGCAGCGATTTAAATGTAAAAAGATAACAGACAGACAGTCATAGTTTCGCATTATAATTTATCAGCATGGATTAGTAATTATAAATAAAGCTTAATTTATAGGTTTATAGCAACAGATGAAAAGAAGTTTCACTTCAGATGTTTTTTTTTAATTTTAAGCATTTATCTGCTAGATGTTTAAACCTAATGTTTTTTTACTATATAGAATTAACAAATTTTATTTCTATTTTATAGAACACTGCCGACCAATGGATGATAGTATTCTACATTCTGTCGGCTACTTATATCTTGGGCGCTCTGTGTTTCGTTTGCTTCGGATCCGGCGAGAGGCAGCCCTGGAGCTCCCCGCCTGTTGCCCCCAAGCAGGAGGAAGAACCCTTACACGAGGAAAAGGCTTAAATAGGGAAGAAAGGGCTGTGCAGGCCACTTGTGGGTTGAAAAGCTTATATCAAAAACTCCGAATGAAAGTAACTAGGTCAAAAAAAAAATGGTCTCTTATTTTCACAGGGTTGTGCATACTTAACCGACAATTAAAGTTCTTAGTCAGCTACATTGAATATGTATGTAGCTCCTTAAAACTTTAATTATCGTTAGGTGCTTTCGTTAAAATTTGCAAATTCAGAAATTACGAGAATTTTCAGTAAGATCACTTCATTGAAGGATGCGATATGTGAGCTTTATAGTTTTTATTTAGGCAAGTTTATATGTGGGATGTACAGCTTATATGTGGGCGGTGTAGCTTATGTGTAGGTTATACAGTTTATATGTGGGCTTTACAGCTTATATGTTGGCTTTACAGCTTATATGTGGGCTGTACAGCTTATATGCGGGCTGTGTAGCTTATGTGTAGGTTGTACAGTTTATATGTGGGCTTTACAGCTTATATGTGGGCTGTACAGCTTATATGTGGGATGGACAGCTTATTTGTGGGCTGTAAAGCTTACATGTGAGCTGTATAGTTCATATATGGAATGCGTAGCTTATATGTGGGCTGTATACTTCATATATGAAATGCGTAGCCTATATGTGGGCTGTGTAGCTTATATGTGGGCTGTATAGGTTATATGTGGGCTGTGTAGCTTATAAGTAGGCTGTAAAGTTTATATGTGGGTTGTATAGCTTATATGTGAGCTGTATAGCTTATATGTAAGTTGCATAGTTTATAATACATAGCTCACATATCACAACTGAGCTCTTATTTGGGCTTGACAAGTGGACTGTACATGTCAGATAATTATATACAGGTAAACAAGGTATAAAAATGTATATAAACACTCCATCTTATATTTTTCATTTAATTATTAGAAGATTAAAATAATTGAGAGTAATTAAATGGACAATGTAGGAGTTATTAGATTTTCAATTTTGTAGTTTAGTCAGACCCTGAATTTAAAAGTTCGTATTTTATCAACATTTTAATTCTAATTTATTTTATTGTGTTTAATAATAGTTACAAAGATTGCATTTGAAATATAAGAAGTAATGAATCTCACGATACATGATTTAGATGACCTTACCCTAAGTGTTAGGTCATATTTTTTTTTTAGTTTTCAGCGGGTCTGACAAGACTAAAACTGCTATAAGTTTTGTAATTTTGTACTGAATTTAGGTAGTGTCGTTACAAAACTGAAATTATATATGTATATCTAATATGTTAAGCGGGATATTTCGATTGGTGTTTTAAAGTAACTTTAAAACGTTGTATTGAGATTTCGCATTTAGCTATGACGAACGCGCCAACTTTTAATTATATCGCCATTTAATTAAAAAGCAAGTTGTCGCGTTGGGCAAAGCCAACGAAAAAAAAAATGTAAAAAAACTCAAAAAAGGCTGTTAATATTAATGATTGTGATGTATTTATAACGTGCCGGCTTGCGCAATGGACACTCGATATTTTTTTTAAGAACTCATTTTCTATAGCTCTACTACGAAATTTTAAAATAGTTTTCGAATTGAAAATACTTAAAAATACAGTTGAAATTTCGAAGATCATTACACTAACTAACAATTGTGTTAATCTAATACCGCTCTCATTGGCTACCTTATAAAGTGTTCTCAATATCAAATACCTACTCTTAAAATTGTAATGTAAAAATCCAAGAAGGTCATTGATAAACCCGGTCACAAGAAATGGAATATCTTGGCCTTACTAATTTGTGAAAAAATAGTACTTTTTTTTGCAAGACGAGAATATTTTTCAGTGAAATACAGTACAGGTTTTGCAATAGGAATGTAGTAGTGACGCTATAGGAATGAGTTTGAAACGAAACGGTGATTCTGAAACCCGACTCATCGTTGTTTTGAATATTAGCGTTTAAGACTCAAGAGGTGACAGTATTTAAGTTTTGTTGGCCCCGTTGTGCTTTTGGTTGGCTTTGGACAATTTACCTATAAGTATCTCTACTCATATTCATATTTATTTATTGTTCTTAATACTTCTAATAACAATAATTAAATTAGGTAACAAGTTACGTTTGAATTCAGTTTTTCGTTTTCGACGAACAAAACTCAGTTGTACAATCTGAAAAATCAATTTGTCTAGCTTGGGTGATTGCGCACGAACCAGTAGAGGATTGTGAAAAAAAAATATATACATGAATTTTCAATGATACATCGAAACGAAAGTTTAAGAATTGGTTTATAAAAAAAATAAGATTATTCTTAATACTTTCATAGCTCTAAAAGAAAAGCGAACTTGGTTAATGACAAATTTATTATTCGTTTAATGCTTCCTGCATTTACAAATGTTTTCTGTTCAAGTCGGTGGAATTTAGTGCGTATTAGGTATATTGTCCACACGCTATGTTAAGACGTAAATTGGGTACTCTGCGGACTGATTAGTACTTTTGGGTAAATAAAATGTAAACGCGATAAAAACTAGTTCTATCTTTTTGAACATTAACAATTCGTATACAATTAAAATTACTAGTTAAATATTTGGTCTGCAGATATACTCAGCAAACGAACTGATAGATAGTTAAGGGTTAGTGTGAAATTAATCGGGACCAAACGTAAGGGCCACAAAATATATGCACTCATATTCATAGCATAAATAAAAAGCGATAAAGGGGTTCTATGGACAAATGGCTTTACTCTATTTAATGGATATTATGTTGTTTAGCCAAGCCGCGAACATATGGCTTATAAGTTGTTTGTCCACGGCGCTACGGTAACAGATTTGGAAGAAAGGGGTTTCGGAAACCAAAGCAGTTGCAACAATTTCTGCTATAAATGTGCGTGTATTATTTACTCGAATTTCTTGATAACATTTATCAATTTTAATCTATAAGTATCCATTTATTTATTTTTATACTACTTATATCGAAAGTTTAGGAAGATTCTGAGCCATTCTAGTTTTACCAGTGGACGAAATTTGACCATAGACAAGTCTCGTTTCTTTTTTTTACCGTAAGACATATCTAGATTATAAGATTAAGCCATGTTCGCACTTAGCTTTATTACAAGGGACAATGCATTGTTTTTTTTATTGTGCATTTCGACAGCTGTGATAAAGAGATTTGTCTATGGCCTATTCTATGCTAAAGTGCGTTGGTGCACACAAACTTTGGATCATCGGTTGTTCAAAAATAGAATCTTAACGGCTATTAGTAGTTCCTAAATTACGATCAGTATTCAGTGACATTTCATTTGGTTTTTCAGTTTCCATGGACATTTTTAAATAGACAGAGGTGTCGATTCTGACGTGATTCTCTAAACTTAAAACTAAATTTAACATAGTATTAGTCTCTCCTTTTTATTTTGTATAGAGAATGACAAGGATACACTGTTGTCAAATTTAAGTTAAGGTTTAGAGAATCATGCCAGAATCGAAACCAATGACAGGGAAAAATGAATTTAAAAAGTACAATAAGGGAAGCTTAAGCGTTTTGGTTGCAGTCCATACAATCATTAACAATCATACAAACATTGTTACTGGTATTCTGTGTGTATAACTTATATTAAAAAACTCATTTTTATGTATATAAGAGCAGCTCATTCTATACATGTAAACTATACAATATCCACGCAAGAATATAAGTAACGCTTTCATAGAGTAATTTTGCTATATGACCAGTGCCGAACTTTTTAACTCTTATGTAATGTTGGCATACCACTTAGTATAATCCGATTGTCTGTGGGAACGGTGAAGCCTAAGAAATATTATGTACTCTCATTATTTATTATTATAATTTTGTATTATTTAAGAAGGTTGTTCTTCACACAACCGGTACCAACAACGTAGTAAATTATAAATTTGTTTTTTTTTTGCATTAAGTAAATAAAATTTTTTGGTAAGTTAAAAGGTTGCTTAGGAATGAATTTTAGTATGTAAGGGTCTATGCAGACTGTTTGTATTGTATCAAGCTGTAAGTGGTAATTGGAATGCAGTTAGCAAGCAGTTAATACAACGACCTTGCAGTCGCTAAGTTAGCAACCTTACAGAATATCATAGTAAAAAAACACTACCTTTTGAGGGAGTTGTATTCCTGTAAGGTTCCAGGATTCCACGACGTAGGAGATAGGGTCAGGGTATATTTTTTTATCGCAAGCATGTATTGGTTACGGTGGCCGCTTTCCATCAAGCGGGCCACACGCTTTTTGGCCACCTTTTTAACATAAAAAAAAACCAAACCACAGATTTCGGAGCTTTTGCAACAGGGGTTTGAAACAGCATGTCAAAATGTTCATTTTCTTCAATGGTTTTTTTATCTTAACTCACTTATAAAGTTCAAATTGTAGTATTTTATCTTAACGCATTTGACATAAAGTTCAAATTCGAGTATGTAGGAAAAAATTGCCAGCTTGTAATGATTCTGATTTGATGATTGTATTAGACAAAATTTGCCAGCTGATTCTGATTTGTTGATTGTATTCAAAGTGGGTACTGCACACGTCACGTGCTAATAAAATTATTTGCAGTAAGAATATGGGGTTTATATCAAGTGGAAAAGCAAAATGGCTTATACGCCATTTTGTTACAGCTTAAAAATTTACTTTTTCAACTTTGTTTAATATTAATTTTTAAGCATTACCAATGTGTCGTATGAGCTATTATGCTTTTCTATTGTCGTATGGTTTCTAGATTGTAATTTTACGATAAAAACCGCTTGCTGACGGCAACCAAATGTCTGTGTTGACCCTTTTATTGTCTTTCGTTAGTGAATTTATCAGATTCCATTAATTAAATGTATTAAGAATGGGTATTCGTTTTAGTATTGGCATCTTTTTTATAATTGTCACTATAATTTATATTACGATAAATATATAATTTGCATTAATTACGTATTAATATAATTTGAATGCATGACATTTGAAAACGTTAATTTCATGAAATAGAATAATTTACCTACCTATGTTAACAATATAAATAATAATGTTGAATTATCGATAGTATTGTATCACAGTTTTGTCACAAAGATTATTGAAATACCCTATTTGGAATGTGTATGGTTGATTTTGGTACACTTACAATATTGTTCGGCTGGATAATTTAAAATTAATTTTGTCAGGTGTACCGCGATGAATGATGCATGTGAACATGTAACATTGTTAGTCTTCAATGACATTTATGTACTATTGTGAACCATTTATTATTTTTTTGAAATAAAGTTTAAATAAAAATTCTGTGTTTGTCTTTTAGGTTTTCACGCACACCACTCATTAAATAAAACATGTTTGAACGGTATAGATGCACGGATTTATTTTTCTATGACATTTCGTATCCTTTTCAAGCTGTGTCTAGAAAATTCTGATTTAATTCACTTTGTCGAGCTACCTTCGAAAGACTTTTATGAGCGTTGGGATACTTCA